GCAGGGCCAAAAACTCCTGAAGAGCCACAGGATGCAGCACACGCATCACACACAGCAAACGCAAGCAAGCAAGCAGCACTTGCAGAATGCACAGGCCTTGAGCAAGGCCAAACTTTGGCAGCTGAAGCCAAGAATGGAGCTCCAACAAGCAGGACGAAAGCAAGAACGAATCAGCAGCGTGCAAAGCCAGCAGTTGATAGATTCAGCAAAGTTTGGCCAGATGCACAGAAAGACGGCATCCCATTTGCGACACCAGAGAAGCGCAGCAAAGCCACGGCAAGGAGGTCAAAGCAAACCACGATTGCTTTTCCAGCCGTGAAGCAAGTCAAAGATGAGTCTCCATTGACACTGGATTCATCATCTCATTGCTCAACAGTCAAAGTTGAGAAAGTTGAGTCTTCCTGCGGCGGTTCGGGTGGCCTTGGGAAACTTTGCATCGGCAGCAAGCATGCAAAGCATCGCAGCAAACCACAATACACACTCCCAAGACAGCAAGGAAGGTCAAAGCTCTCAGAAGTCAACGAGTTAAGTAGAAGAAAGACAAAAGCTGCTCTTACGCGGGCTCTTTCAGAGCTAAGCCACATGCATGGCCAGAAGAGACGCAGACTCTCAGGGGATACTGAGGGTGAAAGGGCACTTGCTGAGGTGAAGGCAGCTCTGGCAAAGGCCTGCGAAGAAGAGGACAGCAACACAAGCCCAGGATCAACAGGTCCTACAGCAAACAGTGCAAAGAAGCCACGGCAAGCACCACAGGAGCCACAACCTCCTCAAGAGCCACAGGATGCAGCACATGCATCGCAAGCAGCAGAAGCAAGCAAGCAACCAGCGCTTGCAGAAAGCAAAGGCTTAGAACAAGGCCAACAGCCAGAAGCAGAAGCAAACAATGCAGGGCCCAATGTGACATGCTTGTTTCTGCAAGAATGTGAGTTTGAGAAGTTTTTGAAAGAACCTTCGAGCATGCGGGTGCTCCTGCGCACCTACAAGTTGCCTGGTCTCCCAAGAACAGTACACATCCTCACATCTACTCAGAATGGAGGATATGCAACCTACGTGGGAAAGATTGAGTTTGGGGACTGCAGCAAGGTGACAAAGTTTGTGGACATTCGACCATTTCTTGCAGATGGGAGACACAAAAAGTTTTGGTCGGACAAGGTGTCCTGTGGCGACCCCGTCTACGCTTGGCATATCACCAAGGTCACCGCTGTTGGGAAGGTGAACGTACGGTTTTATTCCACAAAGCACCGGTACAAACACTTCGATTGGCCCAGAAAGTATTTGTCAACAAGCCTTGATGTCACTGCGCCACAGGCATCCCTTTACTCTTCAAACACTTTTTTCATGAGATTGCTGTCCCCTGCTGACTATGACCGTTTGAGAGACACTGCCAACGCTCTTAATGGCTACAAAATACGCTTGGGCACTACCTGCTCGGGCACCGATATAGCAGTGGTGGCAGTTGAATCTGTTCTGCATGCTATAAACACAGAGTTCAACGTGGCTAGGCTGTAACCAGAATGACTTTCTTGCATATCTCAGCATATGTGTTTTGTTTGACATATATATAGTTTTGTATGTAAATATATATATATATATGCAATATGTATAAAATTATATGCAATTATACGCATGTGTCAGTGTATATATATATATACATGTATATATATATATAAGAAAAGGTTGCAACGGTTGCAAGAGTGCCTCCATGCAAGCCAGGTCCGTATTGGGCTTCGCCATGTCTTTAGCGCTGAGCTGGATGATGGCAAGAGAAACTACTTGCTGAAGGCGTTTCCAAAGGTTGAGCACATGTACGGAGATGTGAAATGCTTTGCCGAGAAGCAGGGGCACTGCTTTAAGTGCGGGCGGGATCATACCATTTCACGATTGAACCCTCCTATGCACATTGATCTCCTGATTTCTGGTCCCTCCTGCAAAGATCTCAGTCCCTGGGCTGTTGAAGAACAGAGTTGCTCTTTTTACTAGATATATATGTATATACATATATGCGTGTATATATATATATGTGTGTGTGTCATGTTGTATGTTCACCTCTCGCTACCGGTCCATGGTGCGTGATTAAAATTTGAACAAACAGCATCCAAACAGCCAAGGTAGATTGAACAATGCCAGAGATGCTGCTTGCTACCAAACGGGCACAAGCAGTGGAACTTCAGCTCCAACCTACCACAATGGATACAAAGCAGTGTCACGACTGCAAAATTGATTTTTGTGTGAATGTTCTATGTGTAGTGTCCATCTTTGGTAGTTTTTCCAAATCCACCTGCAACCTCCAGCATAGGGCATAGGGGGTCAATAGTTATCTAGCCGTAGGATGGACCACTGATTTTCAGGTACTGCAGAACCTGACTCCCAACGTTGCACTCTACGAAAACGTCAAAGCTGTGCAAGAGTTCAGCAATGTGGATGGCAAGCTTGTCCGACCTGCCACTGAGGCATCTTAGATGCGTATTGCAAATACATTCTATATTGTCCTATTGTTTTTCTTTATATACACATATGCGTACAACCGTTTTTGTTGACCACCGCTTCTGTTTGTGTAGTGAGCTTTTGGCTGGTGGGTGCCAGGTTATCAAAGAAGACTGCAATGCTCTTGGATATCATTTTGCAACTTGGTCGTCCATCTCTATATAGTGCCGTTTGCTTGTTTTGAAGGCCAATGGATGCTGTATGTTCTAAGTGCGTGCGTATCAAACCTGCTCAGGTATGGAACTTGCTTGACAGTCAAAGCTTTCTAGCACGCCAGCGCCGGAACTGAGTGTGGGGGTGCTCACAGGTTAACACAGGGCAGGATGAAGATGCCTTCAGCAAGGACTTTGCTGGAACTTTGAGGAGCCTCCAATCTCATTGCCACTTCTCAATGGATGAGTGCTTCTTGCAAAACCTGCCCCGCGAAGAGCCCCGCAATGAACGCGAGAAGGGGATGGTCCAGCTTGCTTTGTCAAAGGCTCAAGCTGAACCTCGCCCGCTTACTTCCTTTTATATATATATATATCTCCTGGTTGGGGTGTGGACATAGAACCTGAAAGTTCATGATGCTAGAAACCAGCAGTGTGTGTGGAAATGTATATTATATATATGTAATATGTTATATATATTTTAAAAAAATACATAATATATATATAACACGCACCTTCACCGTTCTTTGTGCAAGCCAAATGCTTAAGGACTTTGCTGGCAACAATGTCTTCGTCGATATGTCTACTTCGAAGTCGCGAAGAGTTGAATCAGCAGTTGAGGTGACCACCTGCGTAACACCAAGTCACCCCATATACTCCACACAGCTGTGCAGATATCTGAAGCCTGTGGAGTTTCTAGCTGCGCAAGCAGTTTTCAGGTGTGATGCAGGGAACAAGGATGCCTTTGATTCTCTGGTGAAAAGCGGGAAGGCTCAGGATTATGCTGGCAACGGTATGACTGGCGCGGTTGTTCAGGCTTCATTCTTGACAAGCCTCGTTTGCTGTAACACTTGGAGAGAAATGCGAATGCAAGCAGCTACTCCTCAACCCAGATCCAAGTGTTCACGTGCAGGTTCTTGCCATGGAAAGAGTGTCAACAGGAGAAAGTTGACAGCAAATGAACCCGTTCCAGATGGCAAACCTATGCAGTCCTTGGCAGTTTGTACAGCTGAGAGCATGCCATCTTCAAAAGTTGAGACAGTCGTGGCAAGGGGAAGCAAGCGCACTGCAGATGGCCAAATCTGCAAGAGGAATTCCCCAGTTGCTCCACGCCGCCGCTTGTACGGCAAGCAATCTCTTGTGAAGTGGGAGCAGCAGAAGAGGAGAAAAGGCCAAGGTCCGGGAAACAAACACGGCAAAGGAAAGAAACCTATGGTCTCTATTTGGGACAAGGAGCAAATCTTCATGGCATGGGAAGAGGCAAAAGAGGCTGGCAATCCCAATCCCATTCGGGCTGTGGCCGAGCGCAAGATGAACGGCTACTTCCCAGGATGCCTGTACCCCAGCAAGTGGGGTAAGGTGAGACATGACCAGCATTGGCCTTTGCTCGTGAAGACAGCACCGCAGCTTTGCAAGCGGCGTAAAGAGCTTCCGAACTCTTTGCGAAGCATCTTGCAGATCAATGAGCTGAAGTATGGATCAGGCACCAGCGCAGAGAAAAGATCTCATCTCCCACCACCGCTGGAGGAGGCCATTGAGAGCATGCTCGTAGAGAGAATTGGACTTGGCGAAGAAGTCACCATGCACTTTGTCAAAAGCACTATCCTGTTTGCTACTTCAATCTGGAATGAATGCATTGGGGAGGTGCGCAAGCTTGTTCGGGACCATGGATTGAAACTGCTAGAGAGGGATGATGCCAAGCTGGCCCAAATGTCTCCAGATGAATTGGACCAGCACCTAGAACCTTTCTTTGAAGAAGCGGACAAGCTGCTGCAACCGATACTCATGACGGACAAAGACGGAGCAGTATTGAAACTCGTACTGTGTCGAAGAACTTTGTGTAAGCCAAATCTGTGTGTATATATATATAAAGTTATAATACATAATATAACTCTTGTCCCTGTTATTTTTTGCCCATGCTACCTATGTTCTAAGTGTAGTTTGGATGCAGCAACTCCTGTGAACATCTAGGAAAAAAGCCCAGCGGCTATGCAATGCTTTCGGAATTCGCCCTCGATGCAATGAAAAGCCTGGTGCTCACCTTGCCTATGAACATCCAGCACTCCAGCAGGTACGAACTTACATACAGTCAAGGGCAAAGGCTGCTGATTGCGACCCACGGCTCATTGCCAATTTTGATCAAGTGTGGAGCTTGGTTTATAGACCCCAAAAACGTATCCTGCAGAAAGGCAGCTCAGCACCTAGCTTGGGAAGACAGGATCCACACTCTAGCTCCAAGACCATGCGTGTCATCCGACACAATTTGGAAAGGGTTCTCTGTTTGCCCATCACCGAACAAGACCCAACCGCTTTGGTGGAGAAGACTTCCATGAAGGCGCCCCAAGTCAGTGGGGGTGCTGCTGCAAGCTGCATGGTGGAGAGCTGGAGGTTGCCACGGTCTGTGACAACCCTTTCCTTTATGGATGGACACATGGGGCGCGGTTACATCACCGTGCGTGTTGGATCATTGCCAGAGCACAAGCGCTCCAAGCTGAACCGAGAGCTCAACAAGTTTGTGTTCATTGCAGAGCCCCAGCCCACCAGCCACGTATGGTCCGAAACAACGTTTGTCAACTACCTGTCCTTTCTAGCAGAGGACTGGTTGAACTGCGCATATATACATATATTGTTTGTGTTATTTCCCCACATAGCGATAGCTATGCTGCTGGCTCTTTTCTACTCTCAAAGGTGTTATATGTATATACATGGAGAAATGCACGAAATGCAATGTTCTAAGTGTGTATGTGTGAGCATGTGTTTGTGAATGTTCCAGGAGTTCCGTACTCGCAGGGCACAGTTGGGCTTGTCCGCATCTGCTCGTGGAATTGTGATGTATGATCAAGCATCTGCTCACATGTCCAAGTCCTTCTTGAAGGTGCAGCAGAAGTTCATGGAACAGTACAATATAGAAGCTTGGCATGTTGCACGGACTACAGTATGGTATATGTATATATAGAGGTTACCAGCTTACGCCTGATCCCTAAGAGTTTCTGTTTGTGCTGTTTATTTCTAGATCTGTTCTCAAAGCAACAAACACTCACTTAGAACATGCACAATTGAGTGAACGTGACATAACAGGAGGGGGGAGGCCGAATTGCTTTTTAAAACAATATACATGGCTTGTGACTTCACAGCAGCCTAGGAACTCATGGGAGGACATAGCGAGGTTCCAATCCCTGGCGGCTTCGGGGCAGCAGGAGGTCCTAATGATGCATGGCATCAGGCCATGCACAGTATTTCCAAGAGCTACCTCGCTCTGGCTGTTGGATGGGGGCAGATGCCAGATCTCCGGAGAAGGTTTGATGAACTGGAGTTTGGAGTCCAAGCCAACCCAGCAACAAAGCTTCTTGGGTGAATACTTTATTAAATAGTTTTGGACCTGTGTGCTGATTAGCTGGGGTTATTCAGCATGTTTATCTGTGGACTGTGGAGGGCTGCGGATGTAGTGTTGGTGTTTTTCCTCTCTATATATATCTCTCTCTCCAAATATATATATATATATATATCAAGGATTCTTGATGTTGGCACCTCTTGACTTGTGGCCAGGTGTCCTATCGAAGCATCTTTGCGCGCTGATGCATTTGCCCTGTCTCAGCTTGGGTCACCAAAGTATTTTTGCTGCAGCAAACACTTTTTTATAATGATAACTGTTTTTCATGTGCACAGCTACCTTGCAATAGTGTGGTATTTCCAAGACATGTGTAGTGAAAGGGGCACCCAATGAATGCGCAATATATATATATACAGGTGTTGACGCATGTTCTATGTGTGTGAATTCACAAGCTTCTATATAGTTTTATCCATTGTCAAGTAAAGTAAGGTACAACAAAATCATTTGGCTTGGGTGGCTGCAAAGAGGGTATTCCACAATATCCAACATCGCGCAATGGCATTTCAATGGCAATTTGGCGCTGTTTAGTCATCATTTTACATGTTTTCTGTATGCATTATGTACAGCTCACACTGTATGCAAATAAAAGTACATATACTGTATATATATAGGGTGCTGTTGCTTTGTGGATATTCCTTAAAGTGTTCTAAGTGAAGTATGCGCAAAAGGATGTTTCTTTGTAAAGCAATGCGTTGTGATGTCATGATGTCTTATAATTACATATATATATATATATAACTAGACTCCCGCAACAAACAAGTATATGACTTCACACAGTGGCCTGAAACAGCTTTCTGGTAAGGAGATGAATCCAAAGTTCAGGAGGCATTGCTGCGAAGTAGAGGTTTCCTACAACCAATCTTGCAGCTATCCGAGCTGCCCGAGATAGATGGAGAGGATCCTGACGGTATTCTTGAGCACATGCGCCTTCAAGAACTAGTATCTTGGCCACTGCTATGCTCATGGAAGTCAGTGTGTATATATATATAGAGAGAGAGTTAGTTCACTGACATCCTGTTGGGTACAACATTAAGGCGTTAAAAACCGGGGTCAAAAGGTAAATCGCTTCTGTGACACCACACTTAGAACGTCCAAGGCTGGGGAGCAGAAAATCTATTGGGTCCTGCAAAAAGAGACGGAGACTAGCAGAATCCCTCTTCCTCTTTGGATGAGCAGCATTATGGAGCTTCGGGTTTGCAAATACATTACGGACCTGCAGGCTTGGCAAACTAAGATTGAGAAGCGGCACGCTGCTGGCAAGGCCCTGACCAAAGCCCAGGACAAGGCTTATGAAGCGTGGAAGCATTCTCTGGTGCAGCGATTGGTGTTCTGCAAGAAACGGCAGAGTCTAGTCACTGAGGCCAGACACATCAACAAGGACTGCATTGCTTTGGACCTTCGCCTCAGCGAAGACCCAAATCATCTGATGGTTTCTTCAGTCAATGGCGATGACTACAAGCTGGTATTGCTCAAAGGCGGCACTGTTGAAGGTCCGTGCAGAGCCTTGCCAAGTGAGTTAGATTGCCCGCTTTCCAAGCAGCAGGTTGAAACCATGCAAGCCGAGGAGGAGGAAAATGCTGTGGATTCCCATGGTGAGCAGGGTGAGGAACAGAACTTGTGGGATGATGAAGCGGGTGATCACATGATTGAGGACCAGCGCTATGAGCAGGAGTGTCCTCAGACTGATCCAAATGACTTCGCTGTGCTGGCAGATAGTGATGAAGAGCTTGAAGACATTGAATTTCCAGGAGGCCGCCCTCCAGCAGAACCCGAGCATCTCAAGAAAGTCAAGAGTTTTTTCCACAGGCCTGCATGGCGCAAACTACAAGCTCTCAACCTCGCCGACCTTCCAAAACATATCAAGGGTGTGTCGATTGGTTGCCATCAAACGAGTCAACAATGGCAAGGCTTCTATCCAAAAGGCGACCGCCATGTGTGCCTGCTTCCAATGAGTGGAACTTGGGGTGGCCGGAGTCATCTATCAGAGGAGGAATGCATTCTGCAGGTCATTCGCGGGATACTCGAGAATCATCTACAGCAGTACCCCAAAGATCGATTATGGAAAACCCAGCTCGACCGCGTGGTCAGTGCACAATGCACAAAGGCGTTCTAGACATGGATGTGTGAAGATGTCAGCCTGGTGGGCAAATGCTTGCGCATTCTTTCTGAGTAGCTGCACAACAGTGCATGTTCCATTGTGGTAGAGTTTTCCTCATTGTTACCCTGCAAACAGGTTTTCTTGGATGTTCTATGTGCAGTATCACTGCAGCATCACCACCTCTCACCATTGACAGTAGTTTGTACAGCATGCCAATACTTACTTATACTTTAATATATGTTTTATATAACTTATATAACATAAGTCTATCATACACGTATGAGTATATAACTATACACACTATTTCATTGTGGTAGAGTTTTCCTCGTGGTTCCCCTGCAAAATGGTTTTCTCGGATGTTCTATGTGTAGTATCACTGCAGCATCACCACCTCTCACCATTGACAGTAGTTTGTACAGCATGCCAATGCGTACTTCTATATATAGTATATTATACATGTATGAGCATATAATGATACACACAATTTCTTGGCCTACTATTGCTGAGGAAACCTCTGCATTCATTAGAAATACGACACAGGCAGCTTATTTCCACCCATAGGTGTACATAGGCAAAGGCCAACAGAGCTTTTGCAGACTCTCAATCTTGGTTGCCCAAATATGTTTTTCCTACTATCATGTACTGATATGTACTTATTAGCTGCATGACTGGTAGGCACGGATGTTCTATGTGAAGCGCTACAGCAGGTGATTTCACTTGCGCGGGCAACCCAATCCATGAGCATTGATAATTAACTATATAGATCAGAAGTCACTAGAACTTTTGCAGCTTCCAGTGTTGTCATGATATGAGATACTCTGCAAGTCAGCTTGTCCAACCTTCTCTTTACTTCACCTTTTCCCCAGCATGATAGAAATCAGCGTGTACTTTGTAATTCTATTTAGTTTTGCTGGTTTTTGGCAGCAGCATGCTGGAAGCACGTTCCCAGGCCAAAAAGGCACGAATGCAGCATGCTTGTTTTGGGGAAAAAGAGCTGGATGCAGACAGAAAGCTGAATATTGTGCCTACATATATGCACATATATATATATATATGAGCGTGTATATGTTCTAAGTGCAGGATTTCCAATGTTCTAAGAGCAAGGCTTAGAACGCGTTTTTTTGTTCTATGTGCTGGGTCCTCGGCATGTTCTATGTGACTCGTTTTTTTTTGGTGAAAAAAAACCATGTTCTAAGTGATTGTCCGTCACTATATACATATATTATATATATACACACATTTTTTGATTTGATTAATCCATATGTCTTAAGTCCCTTTGCAGACGCGGATCCTGCTCCGGTCCGGTCGGGAGGTAGAGGATGCAATTTTGTAAGCCCGCTACTTCAATTTTGCTGCGAGTCCACAAAAGCATGCTCGTCACCTCCAGTGCATCCGGATGGCGCATGATAGCACCCTTCATCAACCGTTCCGGCTCTCACCTTTGCCTCATGGATCGTTTTTTGCCACGCATTGTTTTCCACTCCTTTTCATAATCCTCTCGCGTCACGCTTTCTTCTCAAAGTTTTTTCACTCTTATCTGCTGGCAAAGCGTTTGTGCAAACTCGATAATATGTTATCTTCTCTATGTTTGTTTCCTTTGCTTAAGTCACTTTTGTGGGCCTCCCCTTCCTGCTCCGCGGACTTTGGCCGGTTTCATCCACTTGCTCACCTGCCATGGCTAGCTTTGATTCCGCCTTTGTTGGCCTCAAGTTCCCACTCATGCCCCCATGCTCTCTCATGTGTGAAGCGGCTGCTTGTTTAGCCAGAGACTCACAATAGGTTTAATGTTCAACTAAATTTGATTAGTAGCAAGAAGCTACCAGGTGGAGGCCATCGCTATTAGGTTGGAGGCTATCGCTAGTAGTAGCAAGAAGTTACTAGTACCTCCTGAGTGACAGGATCCTGACAGGCCACTCTTTTCGCTTCGGATGCTCAAAGCGGCAAGATAAGGCAAAATTGGCAACTAGTGCGAAGCGGGGTCGGAGGAAGCACGAGGTCAAGGTGAACAGACAAGGAAAAGGGGAAAGGAAGGAAGAAGGTCACAGAAGGGGCGGCCACGAGGGAAGTGATGAGCAATGTGGGAACATGTGGGAGTGGAGAGAGGGAGGGACTACAAAGAGGAGGGCGAGGTAAGGCGGGGGAGGGACAGGAAGCATGAGAATATGTTCTAAAAGAAAAATCGAACAGTCTAAAAGAAAAACGAATGCGACTGGGAAACAACAGACGAGAATTGAAGAGGAAACATACAACATTCAATGCGACACCGAGCGAGAGAGAGAGAGAGAGATAGAACATGTTGTGTGAAGAGGGTGTCGTCGAATCAGTGCGCGCAGAGGGGTTACTATATATATATATATAGAAAATTTCACTTTTTCCTCGACGGACGCTTTACAAACAAATGGAAACACAAAGAGGAAAATAATTGTTTCTTGGCTTATTGCATTCATGGATCATAACCCTCAAGCTTGGAAATTGTAAAACCTGTACTATGCATCAAGACATGGGAGCCCATGAAATTCACACATAAAGTGCTTTGAAGCAATCGTCACTGGAGTCGAGCTGGGGCTTGGCTTTACTTTTGCATTGGCATTAATGACGTGAAGGACATTTGACGTTCTACCTTGTTTTTGCTCCAAAAGCCAAGTGGTACAGGTCAAGAAACACTTGTAGTTGGTTGTGAAGAAGGAAACGTCAGGTCGCACGATTGTGCAGCTAGAGCTCTTAGTTGCTTTCCTTGTCAACTTTGACAACAATTCATATCACGAAAGGTAGCCTGCTTGCCGTGGTGGTTGGTGGTGCTTTGCTGCAGCTGCTGCTGCTTGCTGCTGATTCGAGCTGCTTCGCTGCTGCTTTGCTACTGCCGCTGGTTTTGCTGCTGCTGATGCTGCTGCTTCTGCTGCCTGCTGGCTGCTGGTCTGCTGCTTGCTTTCCTTCTTGCTTTCCTGCTGCTGCTGATCAACACAAAGAGACATCAGGTAGAGCAACACTTTGGATTGAAGAGTGTAGTAGACTAGTAGAGAGAGGTTTATAATAACAGATGCACAGGCATGGTTACTGGTTGACAGGTTCTTCCGCTCCGGGGTTTGTCGAAGGCTTAAGAGGCACAGAGCAGATGGTGGGAACATGGCCAGCTGGGACACCTTGTGCAACCATTTCAACCCACAAACTACTGTGTGCCATTTTGAAGCTGTATCCTGGCAGCACAGGGTCAATGTAGACCCAAAGTACTGCCACAACAATACAACTGAAATGCGTTGATCCTGGGTAGTAACAGCCCCGTCCACGCCCGTCCACCCCCCGTGCGCCGTTCCATCTCCCTGTCCATCCCGTCCGCCCTTCGCACCCCTCCATCTTCCATCCACGCCCCCATCCATGCCCTTCTAGGAAGCATGGAGCAGCATCAGCCACCTCCATGCTTCGTTCCAACCATCATTTTGCAAGACTTGCTTGGTTTTTGCACTGTTTGCTTTGACGGCGCGCAGTTTTTTTTGAGGTTCTTGCACATTGCGAAACTCTCCTACAGTTCAAGGAGACATGCTAGGACAAAAATTATTCTGGCTGCAATTGGAACCAAGTGCTTGGCAGAAGTGAGCAGCCTTCGTGTGATTGTCAGTGGGCACTCCGGCAGCATTGCTTTTTAAAGGAACTGAAGGGCCAAGGCACTCGTTCTGTTTCGATTATGGTTGCCAAGGTAGTTCAGGCAATTTTGAGTCAGTTTTGATACATGTCATTTAGAACATGCACGGGTGCATTTGCAGCCAAGCTTGTCTGAACCCGCCGGCCCCGCTTTGCAGTTCACTCGTTTGCAATGCAAAACTACAATTATTCATGTTTTTCATGTGCTTCATCCTCATCATCCTCATCTTCATCCTCATGTTTATCCTGATCCTATTTCTTTTGTTCTCCCTCATCCGTGATTCTCATGCGTCCTCTCTTTGCCCATCTTCCTTTTTATCCAACTGCTCATCGGCCTTAAACCTGCCAGCCCTGATGTTCTCACCCTTGAAGCGGTTTTGTGTCCACCCGCGGTATACTTAAGCTGGTTTACGCTGTGGTCGATGATGCGCACATCAGAAGAATTGTGCCAAGAGCGTTGCAAGGAATTAATAGTCAGTTTGGTCGACTTCACCTCAGTGTCACTTGTGCGCACACTGAAACTATATAACTTAGTGTATATATATGTATACAGTATAGATTTGTTTTGATTACTAAAATTTTAAGGAGTTGACATCACATGGATTCTTTGGAGGCAGGTTACTCGGCTCAAAGACATACCACCATGCCCGGCAGAGGGAAAAGGAAAGCCGATCCACTGGCTGGCAGCGCAAATGGCAGCGTCCAAAAGAAAACCAAATCTGAAGGCTCCATGCAATGCTCTGATGGGAAAAATGGTCTGTCAGAGCGGCGATTGAAACAATATTCCGTCGGAAAATCTGGACGAGTCCCGTTGACGGTCGGCATCACAGGAGCTCGAGCAGACGATGTGCTGCGTGGTGTGGAGGAAGCGAGTAGTGGTGATGTTGCCAATGTAGTCTTGCGCATCCACTCTGGGGTGGTGTCGGCGCCTTCGATCATTCGGCGCAGTGTTGAGGCGGAAGTGGGCCGAGATGCACTGGTGGAAACGGTGGCCAAGCACTTTTCAATTTCCAAGGCCCAGGCAGAGCTTCGTTATGACGACTTCCCAACGACCGAGGCTCCGAATCATCAGCCACTGGGTTCCGGTTGCTGTCATGGCATTGAGGAAGAATGCAACTGTCCTCCAGCGGCCACATTTGTGATTGTGTGCCAAGGAGTGCACACAGGTTTTGGACGGACAATGCAAGCCATAGGTTTTGAACTGTGTTTGTTTGTTTGTTTGTTTGTTTGTTTGGGAGGAACATATGAGGGGAGGACAGTTCCAGGCCATGCATTTCGACAAGTGAAAGGCCCGTTGAAGGCATCAACAGGGTTCTGAAATCAGGATCCATTGAGGGCATGGGGCTCACGGGACCATTTCTCTTGGCGGGAAGGAGTGTGGCAGTCCTTTGCTGAACAGCATGGCCACGGCTCCGAGATGCAGCGGCTCAGCAGTCCTCGGTGGAGCAAGTTGGAAAGGGCAGGTTTGGATTTTGGCAAAGGGCAAGTAGTGAACCTCCTGTTGCAGAGGGGGTGTGCGGGTGTACGGGGACTATGGAGTTTGACGGAGATTGTTTGCCTTGATTGATCTCTGGATCCACAGCTATGATCCCATGCTGCTGAGGGCCATGGTCGAGGAGCGACGTGTCGTTTGCTGGCGTGATGTGTTGCAGCTCATGTATACACCTGGCTTGCCAGAGGTGGGGGTTGTGCAGGGGTCCAAAAAAGAGCAGGGCTTTCATTTGCGCAAATTTTTGTGAGAAGAATCAGGCTTTCAGGAACCCCTTGTCAATGTCCTTTTTCACGTGCCCGTTCCATCCTTCGATTCAGGGGAAGAAACTCATCCTTCGTCCCCGTCTCTTTGAGCTGGTTGCTGGACCACAAATTCTCTCGGTGGTGGATGAAAAGGAGGACGTCTTGGACGTGGTGAAGATCTTTGGAGGTCGGGGAGCATTGAATCCCACTGGTTTTCGTGTTTTCGAGTTCTTGGATCTTCTTTGAATTGGCTACTTCGCGATGAACAGAAGGTTTGGGCAGGCCACCTCTACATTTGAGGCTAAACATGGAGGAACATATTGACCACCATGCATATGTTACATATGATGTGCAGGCCTTATCTTCTCCTTCCCTTGAAATGCCCCGGATCATTTCTATCTATATGCGTTTGTGGGTCTTGACGACTGGAGCCGATGGGGCCAGGTGAGGGACCGGCGCTGATGTTACGGCTCTCTGGCCGAGTGATGCGGGTGCCGTGCGGCTCCTCTCGAGCTTATCAGGTAGACGTGGAGACAATTAGAGAGGCGGTGAAGGGCCTCGTGGTCGGAACTGATGAGCCTGAGTTGAGCTACACCGGGAAACTCAAAGTTTTTCTTTGTATTTTCGAGTGCCTCTTTGTGAAAAGAGGTGTTCTTGTAAGGAGCACATCCCATGGGTTTCAACTATATATATATACACATACCAATGTTAATAGCATTTTGACAATGATTTTTAGAATGGTTAATGGATCGAGGAGCAACTTCACCACTGCTTGACTCAGCTCCAACCTTTGAGCCTGGGAGCTTTGAAGAGCAGCTTGCAGAAAGTCATTCGCTTCCATGCCAAAGACGTTCTAGTGGAAGGCAAGGTGCTCCAAAGACATCAGCAGTTGGAGTGATTGACAGTTTGTTTGTCTTTTTTTAACCTTTTGTTTTTATCTACATCTCCCACTCCCCATATCCCTGTGAGAACACAATCTTTATGGACTTTAGTACAGGATGTGCACAGCATTTATCTTACACACCTGTTCTGATCCTCTGCCACCATGGTAGGCAAGCTCATCCCGGCTCCGGTGGTTGCAGCTGCCTCAGCCGCCCTGCTCTTTGCATCGAAGGGTGGTTTTTCACCGGAGCTTCAGCTATTTACCCGTGGTGCCACTGCAGCTTTCAAGCGTTTGGCTGTGATTCTGCTGGAAGATGCATGGATTGAAGAAGACAACATGGCCTCTTCGTTGGAAGGTCTCCTGGCTCTGGGTTTAGTGACTCAGCAGATGAACGACTACGAACCCTCACATCACCTCATCATCTCATCCATGCGGATTGCCGCGAAGGCCGCGATGTCGTGCAGCTTGATTGCCTGGCGCAAAGGAAAGCAGGGTCCTTCAAGCATCAAGGCGACGAATAGAATAGCTTGGGTACAGTACATGCTTTTTGGATCTCAATTTGAAGAGTTGAAAGATAGATGTGATGAGTTCTTTTTTAAAACCAATCTATCTGCAGGTGCTCGAATGTGAGGCAAGGTCCTTCCAGACTTCGGCTCAACTCTTAAGAGACCTCCGAAGCTTTGCCGGTGACATGCAGATGTTTGATCAGGCAGGACAGCAGGATTGCAGACTTTGCAAGTGAATCGGAAGAGCAGTGCTTTACACCTTTCATCATTTCACCACTTTCCCAACTCTTCTTCCAAGGGTTTTACCAAGAAGCACAGAGCAAAGTCACAACGTCACCATGATTTCATTGCAATGTATTTGACCCAGTTTGAGGTGTCTGAAAGTAGCAAGTCTGGTAAGCTGGAGATGCTGCATGCACATGGACGTCCTGATATTATGCCTCTTTGCCACATCGTCGACCAGCATACGTTCCGCGGAGTTGGTCATGTGCTCGGCGCTGGGTCAGGAGCCACGTTTGCTGATCGCTTTCATCTCCTGTTTGATCAGTGCACCGGCTGCAACCCCAGATTCTCAGACCTTGCTGGTTTTGAATCAAGACCTGAAGTTCAGCGTGCTCGTTTTGCACAAAACTGTTGCCTGAACTTTGCCCTGCAGAAACCTCGGAATGCATTGCCACTGATCTCTGATGGCACTCCAGTGAGTCTAGAGCTAGACACAGGGGTGCTGGCTGCAGGCGTTGGGCCAATTTCGGTGCACGTGAATGCGGGGTCCAAGCGCAAAAAGGAACTTTTAGTTTTGCTTGGACTGAGATGCCCAGAAGATGAGGTAGTGATGCTGAAACCCGTTAGAGCAACCAGAGATTTGTTCGGTGAACTTACAGAGAAAGAGCGTGCAGATGCAGTCACTTTAGCCCGTTCGCACAGCCATCGTGTGGTGTCTCCCTTGCTGCCAAGCAGCAAAGAAGCCCAGTTTCGTGACGGAATGTGGGAGGTAGATGGATGCAAATGGGCAGACCTAGTCAGCCAAGGAGTCAAGGTCAAAATACCGCTGGTTTGCCCACCGCGCTGGTGTGACGACCTGTTGAAGAACCCCAGCAGAGTGTGTGATTTGCTTGATGATGATGGTGCTTTAGAAGATGCTCTCCGAAGTACAGGTGCTGGAATGATTGCAGATTCAGACAAAATTGTGATGTGCATGACCTGTTCACTTCCACACGGAATCTCCCTTCGAGCAGTAGCACTTTTGCGACAGCAGTATGCCTGCATTTCTATGCCTACTCCATCTCTGCAAGGAGGTTTGGTGTCTGTTCCTTGGTGAAAAGCAGCGGTCCCTGCTAAAGTGCTGCTTCTCTTCAGTTCCCCGACCCATTTCTTCCCACGCCCCTTCCTAGTTGGTGGAGTGAACGAAGGAGACCTTAACCCACTAAATACTTACATGTGACCTTGGTTACATGGGCAACTTCTTGGAGGGACTTTGTGTGTCTAACGCAAGAGAGTTTGAGGCAATAACAGGTCTGTGATGTCCTTAGATGTCCTGGGTTTGACCAGGATCAGCTCGCGGCCTATGATGGGGATTGGAAGGTCTACCGGCTTTTGGCACTGATTTCGCGCCTAGTGCCCGCAGCCCTAAGGCCGACCATGCCACCCAACTTTCAGGTGAGGTGGGTTTGTGTTAGCTTTGGTCATCCTGCCGAGGATCCGCAGTTATATAGAATTGAGCAAACAAGCCGCTCTAAAATACAATGATAAGGTTTTCTGGCTGGATGATTCTATCTGCTGCATGATGGCTACAGTTTCTGTTAATCAAAAGTGTTCTCTTCGGCCTCCATCACCTTCCTGTCGGCTTTTGCAGAAAGGCCGTGAAAGGCCTAAGTCTTAGGGTCAGAGGAATGGATCATCTCCAACAATTCGAGAGGTAGAAAAGCTCTGAGGCACACCAAGTGTATAGTACCATGCTGGTAGCTTAGAACAACTGTGAAAGACCTTCATTCTTCCGTTCTATTTCATGAAATTCCTGACGCCACCACTGAGCTCCCCTTTTTAGGTGGTGAACTCCATCCTCCTGCGAGTTGTTGAGAAGTGGATGATGGAGGGCATCCAAAGCCGCCCAGCTGACCTCCACCTGCCACGGTCCGTTGGTCTAGAAACGGTGGGGCGGTGGGAGGAGGTGCAGAAGTGCCTGGAGCAAGTGGCGGAACTCATGGAACATCAACGTGAGGCCATTCATTGCAACGAAGCTGCAAGATTGGTAGGACATACTCTTACTTTTCTTTGGAAGAAAGAGGAGAGAGAGAGAGAGAGTTAAAAGGAACACCTCCACAAAGGCATGGTCCAGCGAGATGAAGATTTAAAGTGTGGCGGGCACTTCCTCATCATGGATACTGGCCATGGCAAGACCGTGACTGCTCTCGTTTATGCCTTCAGGCATTCAACCGGTGAGCGGGGCGACACCGGGCAAGCTTAATCGTTGGGACTGACGTACCACAGACCATTGTGTGAAAATCATAGATTTCGATTTCATTTACGGGTGCCACACCCATTCTTCAGCAAAACATATTTATTGGTCCAGCCAGGTGGCTTTGCCAGCATGGCCAGAACGTGAAGCGTCTGGTGTGGATCACCCCACATGGCACTGTGGAGAATTTGGTCAAGCAGCTGCGTGCCCTGAATGCTGATGCTCCTGTAGTGAAGGGAAGTTGGAATGTTGCACTCAAAGTCATACCAGTGAGATCTTTTGAGCTTGTGAAGCTTTTGGGTTGGGTCTTTAGACAAGACTTGCGGGGCGCACCAGCAACCCTAATTTACCTTCCAGCAATATGAGTTGCCGCAAGATTGTCTTGAACCCACCATTTAGAGGACAAGCAATACAATTAACACTATCTTGCGAATGCAAGCATGGTAGTAGAACATGGCCTTGAGAAGACGGTGTTCCTTCACAAACAGAAGAGTCTCCAGTTCCATATCACATTTCTAGAGCCTGGTGGGTCAGCTTTCCCGAAAAACTAGAGTACTTCTTCAGCTCAAATTTAGGAGACACTTGGCGTGTCAAGACCCACGTGGTCCCGCGGATCTCTTCGGCCAAGAAGCCCAAAAGTGGTGAGCGATACGACTTGGTTCTCAAGGACTTTATGGTGTGCCTTGGAGATACTGCTGGATGGTGGTGCCGGACAAGTTGGTGGTAGGAGTAGTTGAAAGGATGGGATTGATGCAATCGGCTTCGGAGAGGGTGGGGTTTGGAAGGGGAAGTTTAACAAAGACTTTGCCATTGTTGATAGATAGATTCCCATTTCCAGTGAGGAATGTGATCCATGCAGACCACTTGAGAGCTGCTATTGACAAGGGGCTGGCTGCAGAGGAGAGGGGCAAAATGACGCTGTCGAAAAAGCATATTGAATTTTCTAGACCGCAGAGGCACCCAGTACTGATGAGTTATAGCGCTAGCCGCCAGCAGCAACATTTTCGCTAGCCGCTAGCCGCTGGTTCGCATCAAGTCTTTCGGCGCCAGGCCACGTCGTCCTTCTTCGTCTTTGACGAGGTGGATGAGATGTATGCACCAACCTTGCGGACTTCGGCCGCCCGGCGCCTGTGCCAGCTTTGCCCCAAGTTCGTGGCGCAGACCGCCACACCGTTGCGGAAGAATGAGTCGCAGCTCTTGGCATGGTTGGCAGACCTTTGGCAACAGAAAGGAGGGCCATTTATACTTTCAACATGATTTTTGTCCTGGTGGGTAGTCAAGGCAGGAAGGAAGGACGGACGGACAGACGGACGGAAGGACACAAGGACACAACAAAGGAGCTTGCAATGCATTCCGTTGTGTGGTGTGTGGCTGCTTTTCTGTGTCTTTGATGTGTTTTATTGTTTGTCGTTGAATCGATTCCAACCTAGCGCACTCTTTGGGGCAACGCGACGTGAGGGGGTAAAAAATAGAGAGGGGAGGACCTAGTCATTCTTTCGGGGGAGGCGCTGCGCGCTCCCCCGGACCCCCCTCCCGCGCCATGAAATCTGCAACCTCTCCGATGTCCTGCCCGCGACGAAATCTGACTTTGCAGACCACAGCCTGCACGAGTTTTCTTTCTTGTAACAAGAAGCTACTAGGAACAAAGGGCATCGCTACTAGGACTAGGAGCA